TTTGAGCCCAACAAGTTGTTTGTGTGTCCTTAAGGAATTTAATCTCTTCACTCTTACCCTAGGTTTTGGATTAATTCCTCACAGGATATAATGAAATAAATATTCTGTGATACCGTAACTACAAATCATAGAACTTCAGCGAACTCAACAAACGGAGCAAATCACACCTGACACTTATGATTATTTGGAAAAACAATGCAACAATGTAGACAGAGGCGAATCTAGGATTTAAATTCTATAGGAATTCAGCCTTTAAGATTTTAGCATTGAACTCATTATATTTTTAAAGTTATGGGTTTAAATCTACTATTGTTGTAATTATAATAAATTTTACATACAAATCTATGCTCCGCGTCGAAAGTTATAGATTCAGTTGAACCCGTTACTTATATGCTTGATACGCCCCTGCGTGTAGAAAAGAGGGGAGAAGATTTCAGATTTTTCATGTATAAAAAATAAGGTTAAGCCTCTACTTTTATAAACAAAAAAGAATGAGATGAAAGGTGCAACTCAGAAGATGTCTCTTCCATTTCCCGTTCACATTCATTCACAAATTCTAACACGGCCTACTACATAAAAATTAATAGTTAGATGAGAACTCTATGATATATGCGCAGCCTCAGCAAAATTAGTAAAAGGGCGTTGTAGGATAACGGACATGACAAATGATAGGACATAATAAAAAATTGAAGTGTGAGTTTGTCAAACTAATGTGTCAGTTAAGGCGTATTCATGATTTGAACTTTATAGGTTCGCGAATTTAGGACATAACCACAAGTGATAATAATTAAGCTTGGAATTTAATATTTATAGCATATATATAAATATATAGGGCCGGGTCAAAAATACTGAATTCGACTAAATGCATAGCTATACTGTGAATCCGCCCATGTGTGTCGGTATTCTCCTTTTAGATGGTGTCTCAATTTGCACTAGTTATTTTGACAAGGTGAAATTTATGTACAATATGCTATAATGATCTGCCAGGATTTGTAGCCAAATGACAATTCATCGAGATTAGTTGCCAAATTGTCACAGTCCTTTAGGATTTTGCTTACAAATTCTGGTGCAAAATAATTTTTGCAAATTTATAAATGAGATCAAAACTTAAACAATAACATAAAAAGATCCTAGCAATTCAAAAAGGCTATGAAAAAGGTTAATGCTAGTGGGCAAAACCTGAATTTATTTGTCTAGCACTTCGTTGGACTTATTTGACGGCCCATTATAAACATATAACAATAGCTGGACTTCTAGTCCAGCTCTCATAAGATTCAATGTTATGGGCCAGTCTATTTTGTCTGGCAGCCAGCAGAACAAATGTTAATAGGCCCAAGTACTCATGTCCCAGAAGATGAAAGTAATAGAAATGAGAATGTTAAGATGGATGTGTGGGCATACCAGGAAAACAAGATTAGAAATAAAGTTAATTGGGATAAGGTGAGGGTGATCCATGTGTAGGACAAGTTGCGGGAATTGAGGGTGAAGTGATTCGGGCATGTGAAGAGGTAAGGCATAGAGGCTTGGTTAGGAGGTATGAGAAGTTAACCATGGTGGGTCTGAAGAAAGGTAGATATAGCCCAAAGAAGTATTGGGGAGAGGTGATTAGGCAGGACATGACATTGCTTTAGCTTGCAAAGAACATGGCCCTCGATAGGAAGGTGTCGGGATCGAGCATTGGGGTCAAAGGTTAACGGCTAGTCGAGAGTTTCTCCTAGTCTTACCACTAGTATTAATACTATTCTTGTATTTTCTTATTCTTAGATATTTATTACTACCTACTATGTAGTTCGCTTCTGTTATCTTACTACCTTATTATGATTATTGTTTGTTACTTCTTTTTCACTATCCTTTGAACCGATGGTCTATCTGAAACAACCTCTCTACATTCACAAGGCAGGAATAAGGTCTGCGTGTATATTACCCTCATCAAGCCCCACTTGTAAGAATACACTGGGTTTGTTGTTGTTGTTGCCCAAACCTAGTCAGCTCAAACAAAATTTGTTTTAAAGAATTTAATATGCGTATAATCGTACGTATTATAGTTATTGTATAATCTATATATACCGGTTAGAAAAATTAAACAATTAATTTGACTAGCTGTTTGTGCAAAGATCTTGTTTGCTTTATCAAGCCATGTTTTAAACCTTCTGAATGTTCCACTAATAACTTTAAAAAGCTTTAATCACACAATTTCTTTTATGTACTTTTTTTTTATGATGGAAATTGTTTGTAAATTTTAAAGTTTACTTAGACACTAGGGAAATAGTATTTAATTCAGTATTTATGTGGAAAACACTGCAATATTTTCATTCTGACCAATTTTTACGTTTCAACACATGGATTGGAGTCAAAAGAGCTTGCCCTAAACCATCCTTTCCGAAATGATGTTTTGAACAATGTAAATGTTGCAATTTCAAAAGCACTTTAAAATTGAAAATATTTATTGCAGTTCCTATTTCTTTTCAACTGATAGCTAATATAGACAACTTCGAAACGAGTTGAATATCTATCATGTAGCAATTGTGAGGGTAAGTCTGGTATTGTTTTGTTTTTGTTTTTGTTTTTCCGTACAATTGATTTTTTGGAGATGATGAAAACAAAATTAAAGTTTAATCCTCAGCGTTTAATGGCAGTGCAAGTAACATAACGTTGCTGTATTTTTTTTTTTTTAAAAAAAAAAACAATTTCCGACTTGAGCAATGCTAAATTTAGACATTTGCGTCTAGGCTTGGTAACTTAACCTTCCGATATATGGATTTGAAGTTTGGGCCCGCCAAGCTAAATTTCAAATAAAAATGTCTGAAGTTTGTTTTCTATTGTCTGAAGTTTGCTTGCACAAGTAATATGTCAAACGTGAGGTCAAATTTTAATTTCGGATGCTGTTTTACTACTTCAATTACGTATATCAAAAAATTGATTCTAAAATGGCTAAACTCATAGGCATTTATGCACTGCAGCTATGAGTTAAACGGGGTCCTAAAGTTGACTATTCGTGCACTTCCTCTAAAAATATTAATAGTCTGTTTGGTCAATCTTTTTTTAGGCAAAAACACTTTTTTTTTAATCAAAAGTGTTTTTTTCTAAAATTAAGGTGTTTAGCCAAGCTTTTGAAAAGAAAAAAAATTGCTTTTGAGGAGAAGCAAAAGCAGTTTTGGAGAAGTAGAAAAAAGTAATTTCTCTTCAAAAGCACTTTTGATAAAAACACTTTTTAAAAAAAACAATTCTCAAAATAAGCTGATTTTTATAGCTTGGCCAAACGGCTATAAACCAAAAACGAAATGTGAAACAAAAATTCCAAGTTACAAGAAAAAAAGGAGAAGGAATTTTTACCTCATATAGCAAAGGTTAACACCTTATTTATTTTAGTTAAATACCATTTAAAAAAATTATATTCTATAGATGTCTTTTAAGGTTTATAGCAAAATATTTAATTTTGGTTACCTCCTAGCCCTAAGCCACTAAATACACTAATCAGTTACAATATTTTCTTTCTCTCTCTACTTTGATACATCCCATTCTCTTCCATCATCCCATTAAAATTTCCGATTCTCTTCCTCTTCTCTATCTAGTTCGCTTGCGATTTCTCCCCCGTCGATATCCTTCATTGTAGTAGGAGAATTGTTAGAGTATAGTTGCACTCGCGATGATGTTGCGGACGAAATTGACTGGGTCAGTAGGGGAAGCAACCATAGCGAGGCAAGTGGTACTGCTTGAACTGCTACAGATCAAGAAGTTGTCTTGCGGCAGCGTATTTCCATGCCCGCAAAAATTATGTATGATTAGTATGTGGGTCCGTTGCTAATTTTTCCTTTGGCGTAAACGAAACTTTCCAAATCTCTAGGCACGTTCAACTAAAAAGCCAACAGGAAAAGCAAAAATCCCATGTTCTCCAAGTCATAACAATAGTGAATACCGTCCCTGCCAATTGAAAAAATTGAGATATGGATGTTGTAGGATGATTTTCTATTAATATATGTCAATGTATTTTTATGTATTTCATTGTATTCATTATCTTTTTTCATTGTAATTCAATGTATCTCGTTGTATTCCATGTATTTTATTGTATTCACTGTCTTTTTTTCTCATTGTATTTCAATGTATCCCGTTGTATTCTATGTATTTCATTGTATTCACTGTCTCGCTATATGCCATAAATATATTCATAAGTTTTTTTTTTAATTAATATAATTTATGTGTTCAGATGTATTATATAATTTCTTTGAAGATTGCTATGTTTTTGGGGTATTTTTCGGTTGATAATTGATAATGGGGAGTAAATCTTAAAATATTGTACATAAATTAATAGATAGCACCTCAGATTTGGGATGATTTTCAGTTAGACACATAAACTTAACTCTCGAAAATATATATTCCTATACTTTTTTAGTTTTTTTTTTAATTACATAAGGAGTAGAGAGGGCAAAAATAAGAGGGAAGTATCAGGCGGGAAATCAAACACTCAATAACAAGGTGAAAGTTCAGGTAGCCAACTAACGGAGTTATTGAGATTCCTCGCCTCCTCTATTTGGCAGATGTATAGATGTATGACTTCTGAATACATGTGTTCCCTAAGATAAGGGGAGCCAAAATTTGAATATGAGTTCTAAATTATAGGATAATGATATCCCGATGGCCGGTGCACTAAACTTCCGTTATGCATATGGTTCGGGAAAGAACACACTACATCATATTTTAATAATTGAGTTATAAATATACATATTTAGTAAATTTTTTAATACAAATACGTAATTAGTGGTTTTGACCTAACCCATACCAAAGTGGTGTAACTAAGAATTTGCCCAAAGTATTCAAATTTGAAAGAAGTGAGAAAAAAATCGCGACAAAATATTTTTAATATGTGTTGTATACCTCTAAAACGTAATATTTTAAGTGTAATTTTTATCCGTGAAACTTCACTTGCGGCTGGCATGTTGAAGAAATAAATTAGCTAGTGACACCATACCAAATCGTGAAAACCCTACTTTGCCAATAAAAAATGTATATCTAATCACTAACTGACATATAGGGCCAAGTTTGAAGGGCTATTTAGTTTTAGCTTAAATTATTTGATTTAATTAGTGCGAATAAAGTATTTCGTCTGATTCAAACTTTGTCCCTCGTATTGAGTACTTGGTACTCCAGGTATGCTTCGAGCTCTTTGGGTAAAGGCATGAAATGAAAGCCTTACGAAGATCCAAGATTTTCAGTCTGTATTTTTATGCTCAAAGGAGAAATTTATCCTCAGTCGCCGATGCTACACTTCAGAAAGCAGCTGAGGAAGAAGAATTTGACAGCGTTTGGGAATGCAAAGATTCAAATATTCTACCCTTTTTGCACCGCACAGTACAAGAATGCGCAAAGGAAAGGGCTGCAATGAATGGAAAATCTGTGCATTCCCAGATCATAAAGTTTGGATATGAAGCAGATACACTGACAACAAACATGCTCATAAATATGTATTCAAAATGCGGCCTTGTTGATTTTGCTCGTAAAACGTTCGACGAAATGCCTCAAAGAACTCTTGTATCTTGGAACACCCTGATGGGTTCGTATATACAGAACAAAGATGGAGAAGAAGTTCTCCATCTTTTCGTTCAAATGCAAAGGGAAGGGACGCAGTTTAGTGGGTTCACAGTTTCAGGTGTTCTTTGTGCTTGTGCTGCCAAATTTGCTGTTTTTGAAAGCAAACAATTGCATGCTTTTGCACTGAAGGTATCACTGGAATCACATGTTTTTGTTTCTACTGCTTTACTTGATGTTTATGCTAAATGTGGGTTGATGAACGATGCTTTTCGGGTTTTTGATTCCATGCCTGAGAGGAATGATGTTACTTGGAGTTCAATGGTTGCTGGGTATGTCCAAAATGAGCTATATGAGGAGGCTGTAATGTTTTTTCACAGGCTACAAAAGTCGAGGGTCGAGCATAACCAATTTACGCTTTCTTCTATTATATCAGCTTGTGCTGCAGTGGCTGCTTTGTTAGAAGGGAACCAGGTGCACACTATAGTCCGGAAAACTGGTTTTGGTGCCAATGTTTACGTGGCTTCCTCTCTTGTAGACTTATATGCAAGATGTGGATGTATTAAAGAAGCCTATATGGTGTTTTCAAATGCTGAGGTGAAAAATGCTGTAATATGGAATTCAATGATTTCTGGCTTTGCTAGAAATGCACGACCTTTAGAGGCTATGACATTGTTTGAGAAAATGCAGTTAGCGGGATTTTACCCGACTGAAGTGACTTATGTGTCGGTTCTATCTGCTTGTGGCCATATGGGTTTGGTTGACAAGGGGCGGATATATTTTGACAAGATGAAGAAAGAGCATAACTTATCTCCGAATGTATATCATTATTCATGTATGGTTGACATTCTTGGTAGAAAAGGCCTGGTTGAAGAAGCTAAGGATTTGATAGAAAATATGCCCTTTGCTGCAACACCTTCCATGTGGGGTTCTGTCTTGGCATCTTGCAGGGTCCATGGAAATGTTGAGGTGGCTGAAATTGCTGCTAAACATCTGTTTGAGCTCGAGCCTAATAATGCTGGGAACCATGTCTTGCTTTCTAATATATATGCTTCCAAGAGAAGGTGGGGCGATGTTGCATCAACAAGAAAGCTTCTTAAAGACAGCGAAGCAAAGAAAGAAAGAGGCAAGAGTTGGATACAGATAAAAGACAAGGTTCACACATTCATGGTCGGGGAGAGAAATCATCCAAGCATTGCAGAGGTTTATTCAAGATTGGATGAGTTGTTGGTAGGTATGGAGAAGTTAGGGTACAAAGGTAAAGCTGAACATGACCTGCACGATGTGGAAGAGAGCAGAAAACATGAGCTTCTGAGGCATCATAGTGAGAAACTTGCTTTTACATTTGGGTTGATGTGTTTGCCCTCAAATGCTCCTATAAGAATTATGAAGAACCTCAGGATCTGTGGGGACTGTCATTCTTTTATGAAGTTTGCTTCAAAAATAACAGGGAGGGAAATAATTGTCAGAGATGTTAATCGCTTTCATCATTTTACTAATGGATCGTGTTCATGTGGAGAATTTTGGTAAAGGATGTAACTTCTTAGGATTTAAGATCCCTTCTCTGAACCAAGGATTAGGTTCAAAATCGTTGAAAATTAGTTAAAACCTGGTTCTTTTAGATCTGACCATGTATAGGAAATCAGAGGCATTTTATAGCAGAGAAGTTTATTACTATCTATTATCTCAACATAATGGCTTTACAACATGAAGCTGGTGAAAATCCATTTTTCCTCTGAGCATTTGATGTGATCACAAACTATGTAAGCAAGCTGGACTCTGGGCAATGCCTTTCCCGAAATGATGATTAGCAAAGGCCATCAGCTACATCTTATAGCACCGTCGGGTTAGATTCTTATGGCATCCAGCCAGGGGTAAGAAGGCATGGCACTTGCATACCGTCATTCCTCTTGTCAACAGTAATGTGTGGTGAGTGACTTTTTCCCCCTTATAAGGCACAATTCTCTACTTTTCTCTATTTTGAGAAATTCTTTTATCATTCTTAGCTTGTCAGGATTCTAAAATTTAGCTAGTTGACTGACACAATTTTTGTCTTCTTTTCGGAATAACTTAGCAAGAACCAGACATAGTACTTGGTTATTCTTATCACTAGTATTTTTACTTATCAAAAACTAAACTTTTCGTTATTAAGATAGCTAAGTTTTGAAAGTATTGCTATTATTTGTTGTATTAGAGTGTAGGAAAAAGAACTGGTCAGTCCAATGTGTAAGACCACCTGCATTATACGGACTGGTAAAGTGGAAGCATTTACCGTATCTAGGGGGTTAAGACAGAGGCATAACCAACACTTAATTTCTTCACTCATCTGTGCGTTCCAAATGCATAACATTGTAAAGTCAAACACATTCTTCATTCTCAAGATGCTGCCTTTTGTTAGGTTTAGCCGACACTTAGTTTTTTCCACTGATCTGCATGCACAACTTTGTTTAAGTCAAACACACTCTTCGTTCTCAAGATGCTGCCTTTTGGTAGATTAAGTCAAATCTCATAAGACATTCTTAACTTTCTCATGAAGGCTTTATGCACTGAGATCGCATGTAGATTGACATCTTTTGTCTGATAAGAAGATTGACATCTTCTTGAAAAAGGCAAAACTATTCCTCAGTGTTGCATTGTGTGTAGAAGTATTGCAGTACCTGTTAGAAGCCAATGACACTATTACAGGAGATATTCAACGAAATTAGGAATACAACACAATGAGAAAGTCATTTTCCCCCATTTGATGGAAATATCAACCAAACACCAGAAAATGACTTCCTTATGGAAGTACTTTTATGGAATAACTGCCATTGTACCAAACACATCCGGAGTGTATGTCGATTAAGCCCTAGGCCTAATATCTAAGGTGATTCACTAGGAGAGTTTTTCTTTTCTTCGTTCCTACAATATAAATGGGCTATAGAACCTCCCTTGTTTTTCTAAAACCAAATATGAAAGAATTATGGTAGTCAGTAGAGACAAACGGATCATAATAGGAGAACCTTTTATGTTTGTTTGTTACGAAAGCCACTGATTTGAAGTTTCTTCTTGATTAGGAAACATGAAGTCTAACCAGCACAATCCACTTTATATAAGCTTTGTCTAAACAAGGCTATCCCAATTGATCATAAATATCTTCATTTGTATTATGTATTTAATATAGTAAGTACAAAGAATATCTCTACTTCTAAAGCCTCTTCATTGTCAAGGATTTAATGGAGAGGCAGAACTTAGTTGTTTCCTTTACATGCATGAACTTTTATGTTTAGATGTATGTTTATTTATTTAAGAGTTTTCTTTTTTAAAATGGAAGTGTTAGGAAACTAATTTTTCAATAAAATATTGTGATTTAAGTACTCTAGTAGATGTAGAAGGTGCTCATGTACCTGTTTTACAGGGTCAGTGGTGGCAAGTCAGTGTCCCCAAAGGAACGTTATCCAGGCAGATGATCAATTAGATGAATCACCGACTCGCCTAGAATTCTATTGTCCTTGTGAAAACAAGGAAACAGTGGATGCTTCATGATGCTGGAACCAGATTCCATGAAAATTCTATTGGCTGCCAGAACTGTTGCTTTCCAACTATTTTCAGGTGAAAATTTTGGAGGTTGAGAATGTGAGTCGCAGCAATGCTACCTCTTGACCTAATGATCTTCTCACCTAGCAGGAGGGATCACAGCTACTTTTGATGCTTTTGGATCGAACAAGAAATGATAGCTTGACAGTAATGAGTATGGTGATGGCCTGGTTGGCGAACATAAAGAAATGCTATTGGCTTGATGAATTCCAAGAACGGCTTCCTAGCTAGGGAAGCTGCAAAGCTCATTTACTTCCCTGAATTTTGTATATTTCATTTGCAACGGGGCTACAGCCTACCTCAGTTGAATCAACATCAAATCATTAGCAAGGGGCAAGTGGGAGAAAGGATATGATATATGGACTAATGTGGAGGGACTTCCTTCCAGGACCAAGTTCAAGTCATGAACATTGCCAAAAAAAATGTACAGTTGTTTTAGCATAACTGGTATGGGAAGATTTTATTCTACATGCTGTTCATGCACCGAGTTAAAGTCATTAGGGGTTAATATAAAAAAATTACACATTTGAGTCTTGCACTAGTACAAGAAGTTCTGGTTCTTTCTTCAATGATTTTCATTAGAGGTGAAGGGAAACTTTATTTGACTATTTTTTTTATAAGATAAATGATTATAGTCTCTAATCAACTGTTTTCCGTTTTCTTCCAATTTGCTGCTTGATGTGCTTGCACATGCAGATTTAGTTGATTATCTGAGTTTTCATCGAGGATCTTTCGGAGACAGCCTCTCTACCTCCTCGGAGATAGGAGTAAGGTCTGCGTACACACTACCCTCCCCAGACCCCACTAGTGAGATTTCACATTTTACTTTTGTACATTTTACTTTTGTATGCTATCGTTTAACATTTTATGTTTTTTTTGCTTGATCATGGGTCCTTAATTTGAATTTTAAAGAGTTCCATTATAATGTCTGAATTTGTTACCTTTTATATTTTTAGGAATCATAAGTGATGCCTTACATTACATGAATGGGTATTAAACAACTCTTATTTCCTAAAATTATAAAAAAAAAATGTATATGCAAACAAATGTTAATTTACCAAAACTAACTTTGAGTGACAACAATGTATATAAATACATGTATAGTATTTATAGCATTGGAATAAACACCGAATGTGAATAATTTTTTCCTGAGACACAATAACACACCCGCTCATACAATCATAATAGAATTATCTACCATAACTATACACTCTTTATGGAAGTTAATAAACATGTACTCCCTCCGGTCCAAAATAAGTAATTTTGACAATTTTTTTGTGGTCCAAAATAAGTAATTTTTCCAGATTTCAAGAATGAATTAATTATTTTTTTCCTGCATTGCTCTTGGAGTAAATAGTGTTGGAGTATGGGTTAGAAGTGTTTATGTGAAGAGATAGTAAATGTTAATATGGTCAATTTCACTGGTAATTAATGTTAAAAGGTGAATTTCTTAATCTGTGTGAAAACAGCTAAAAAAATCACTTATCTTGGACAGGAGGGAGTATTAACAAAAAGAAATACAAAAAAAGAAGTTAAAAAAACATGTGATATTTTCAACTGCACATCATATATATCAATCAATTCTCTACACATCATATGATCAGTAAATTTTGAAATCGTTCTGCTTCGTTCTTACTCCTATATGTATGTTGAAAAAAAAAAAAAACTCCTCTATGTATTTTCTTCCGGAACTATGTTTTACAAGCAAAAAATATTAACTTGTTATGAAACAATAAAAGAAGAAGAGTATTGCAGAGAAAAGTAGAGAGAAGAGAATTCTTATTGATATGGGATGAATTACAATGGAATAGAACCCTCTATTTATAGGGAGAGAGTGACTTAGCCACCAAGTAATAAACCCTAGAATCTCTCTAAATATAGACATTCACCATAAATAGAATTCTATTTATAACACTCCCTCTTGAATGTCTATTCAACAGATAATGTGCCTCGTTAAAACCTTAACTAAATAAAACCCAATGGGAAAAAAATTGTAGAAAAGGAAAAAGAGTACACATATCTAACAATACGCTTTTTGGTTGCCTCGTTAAAAACTTTGCAAGGAAAACTCAGTGGGACAAAACATTGTAAGAAAAAAAGAGTGCAACGCGCATTAACTCACCCTGATGAGAGCATCAATTCACATCTTTAAGCATTTGCATTCCAATCTTGTGCACCATCTTCAAAACGATCTTTGGTAGAGACTTGATAAACAAATCAACCATATTAACTTGAATGAATATACTGCATCTTGAAATCATCATTCTTGATACATATATAATGTCTTCATAAATATCGTGGAATGACTCTTCAATATCTCCATAGAGGTATTCTCGCTATCACATTATCATGCTTATAGTTATAGCAAGATACATATGTGCACAAATTGCACTTAGAATGTGGCACTTCAAGACCAAGAATTGTATATGCTTTAAGCGATTTAAATCCTTCATGGATTGTCATATAAGTTAAGCCATATAAGCCATCTAAAGAGACTTTAGATGTATATTAAGTTTTCATGTCATGCTAGACATATAAGATATCGGAAACTGATTGCACATACCATTGACTTTATACTTTCAAGTATTTGAACAACATAGACAAAATTATATGTCTTTCATATGAAATCAATTCTACTTGAATTATGTCTCTTCCATTTGGCCAATACTTTTGTGTCTATATTCGATAGACTTAAAATCCTCATCTATACTTAGCGCTATGATAGATGTCGTCGACGAACATTTTATATCGGTTTCAGCTTTATTTTCGTAAAGACGTGACATAGAGATCTCTTCCTTCATATTTTCAGGTACCTGAATCTCTCCTGAGATTTTATGAAGTGTTATGTCATGTGATCTTCTAGATCACTTGCCTCCTTTAATATGATCATTTGCTCACCTTCTTTATTAAGAAGTTTATTTGAAACCGATTTGTCTATACGTTTTAAGCGTACCATAGACTTTGTCCTTATAGGACTTAATATAAGCATTTGCAATGAGAATATAGTTACTTTCTTTGGGTTAGCAAATGCGTATGGCATGCTTTGAAATATATTGCAAACGAATTATCTTTTTTATGAACTTCAAGTTCATATTATGATATTCGAGGATCTATATATACAAATGATAATCCGTTCCATGTAACTTTTTCTCAAGTGTTTATCATGTCTGTCCCTCATGTTAGAAAAACTAACTTGTTTCCTCAACTTTAAGAGCCCATCTTTGTGTGTCATGATGCTAATCAAAATATACACCGCACATCAATAATAATAAGATGGAATTATTTGGTTTCTGACCCCGAACCACTTGTGAGGGGAGAATGTAATATACAAACTGATATATGTAACTTTGTTCTCATAAGAAATAGTTTAGCTATTAAGTGGAGACACTCAATAAATTATTTTGCTAAACCAACTGTGATGTAAACCAACTTATCAAGATAAACTTTCTTGAGTAGAAAATTTGGAAATTATGCTCGAAATTAAATTATTGAGCAAGTTACCTCGCAAAACATCATATTGCGGGTTAATAATAATCGCACATGTGACCGTCTCATAGATGCATCTTATGTGGTATACATGGAAAGTGAATGGGCCCATATTCACTTTTGATTTTTTCAGCGTTTATGGGATTCAATCCTAATTTTAGTTGGTCTACTAATTAATGAGAATAAGCAACCTAGGAGAATTCGTAAAGAACTTTCTAGTTCTTTAATGTTACTCATTTGAATTCTCTTTTATTTTTGCACATCATACTTAAATTGATATGACTAAACCAGTTATGCCAACTGGATATCAATAAACTCCAAGTTTATTATGATATGAGTTTTATACCAATAAAGTTCTACTTTATTGTGACATTCTTTTATTTGTGTAGTACAAACTGGAGAATAAAATGGGTAACTTTTCACATAAAATATTATCCCGCTACAAGTTGTAGTAATAGAAGATATTAAATCTTCCTTTATTTATAGTCTCAATATAACCAACCGCTTTCGCGAATATTTTAGAAACTGAATAAGTTTCTTTGAGACTTACTACAACACAATACCTTATTGGTAATCAATTGTGTTTCTCCAAAATAGTATAATTGGCTCTTCCAGAGCTCTCAATTAATTTTGTACTACCACATATTCATCAACATTCATATGGTCATATATCTCTTTCCAGGAGAAAGTTATACCATTATGGTCATGGTCAAAATTATATGCAAGATATT